ACCGAAGAGGAGATTTCAGATGCCAGCCTGAAACAGGGTGAGGATTCGCACTCTGATTTACCCAGCGCTTACGTTACTGAGGTAAGGGAGTGCATGACACTTGATATGTTCCCCATCTCTGCATGGAGAATCATTTCATGGCATCCTTGACCTTTATGTTAAGCTATTCGTATGAATATGTCAGTGATTCCATGTATATCATAATTTTAAGAGCATTTTGTTCAGATCTCTGTCCTTGAGCTTTGTTAATGTGTTAGGGGTGTGAAAGTGATAGGATTTTATTTGGAACTGAGGCTGATACTTGACTTTGTCTGGAGCATTGAATACCTCACTAGCTGTGGCATTGCTTCACTACTCATGGTGCTTTGGCATGATGACCATGGAAAGCAGGACTATTACTGGCACCGAACAGTTGCCTTTATCTGATTACTGTTTGATGCCGTTGCTTTAAACTAGGCTGTTAATTGTCCAACACACACACTTTACAGGTAGACAGACTGCTGAGCAAGGGCGGTGAGGTAGAGATTCAGCTTGTGCTATGTGAATCAAATAACATATTTCTAGGTGCACCACAGTTCCCATTTTTGAGGTAGTACTCCAGTTAAGTATCTGTTAAACTGGAATTTGAGTTTATCCAAATTAGTTCAGGCATTTGGATTGTTTATACTAAATTTCTCCATCTTTCAGTTGCTGGCACTGTCATAATGAGTAAGTCAAAGAAAACAGAGATGTTAAAAAGAAGATAATTCTCTTCAGTGGGTAGAAAATACCTCTTTCCTTAGAAGCTTGATTATCTTAGACTGTGGAATGATACGAGCTAGATGCGAATACCCCATCTTGTTCTCTAAAACACTGTGCTCTACAGTTGCTGTAATTCTGCTTTATCAGCCTTGAAAATCCATTGTTGATATGCTTGGACTTTGTTAGGCTTTGTCTTTATGATAGACACTGCATATCTATTACTCTCTTACAAGGAGGATTATTGTACGTCTCAACAGTCTGCTACTGCAAAAGCGTTTGAATCCCGAATACATCTGAAGCTGGGGATTACTCTTCCATTTTCTTCTTCCTTGTCTCGTGGTTGGCATAGTTGTGATAAGATTCTCAACGGCTTAGGCAGCACATCAGCTTTCTACTCTTGGTTTAAAATTTCAGCTTCTCAGGGTAGAAATAGTAAACCTTTTTTACAAACCTAGTTCCTAATTTGTAGAAATGCCTTACACCTAGCAGGCTATAGAGAGGTGCTAAACTTTATACAGTAAAACAAACTGAGTTTGTAATTTGCCTTATGCTTCTAGTCAGTTCCAAGTTTGAAGTGTGTATTTAAATTCTAGGAAATAGTGAACTGTCTGTGAGTGATTCTAAGTGAAAAGTTACTCTAGAAGGCATGCCTAAATTTTCATTTCTTTAAGTCAGTGTTATTTTTATGCACTTGCCAGTGTTGTATTGTCACTGTGGGTGTGGGTAGTGGGAAGCAGGCAGTCACGCTGCGGGGTTTTATTATTTCTGGCTGGGAAAGGTGCCCATTTGCCACAATGGCTTCTTTAGTTTTTCACGCCTCCTTTTCCCAGTTTCAAGCCTTGTAACATAATGCTTATCGTGGGCAGGTTCAGCTGTGCTCTTTGCAGAAAGCTGATTTTGCAGGTCAGGCAGACTGTGCCTTGCATGAATGGCTACATGTTTGGACTGAGTTTAAATCGCTGAGCTGCAGCACAGGTAGTCAGCTCCTTCAGCAGCACCAGGGAAGGGTTTTCAGGCAGCTACCTTTGCAAAAACGTTATGAAACTATATAGGAAAATAAGTTTTGGCATAACTAGGTGGAGGAACTTCAGGATTTTCTTGAACAGAGAGGGCTGTAACCTCTCCCAAACATTTCCTGCTCCTTCTGAAAACAGTGATAAATCCAGGTACCATCCATTCTGCCAGCAACATTTGCTGGTGTTCTGCATCAGTGATGCCTGAAGCTTGAGCAAACTTACACACAAAATCTGGAATCCAGATATCTGTGCTTATTCTGGCAGTACTTTCTAGGATCTTTTCGCTGCGTCTGCAGAGCCAGGAGTCCACCGGAGTGTGCTGTGACACTGAGTAAGCCAGAGGTATTCCTGCCATTCCAGTACTACAAGAGCCAGGGAAGAGGCGGCAGCAGCAGCTATTATGGGACTGGGAGAGAGCAGAGGCATTGACAGCTTGTATCTGGAAGGAATCAGTGTGCTGCCAATTTTCTGATATAATGAGGTTCAGCTAAAGAAGTCTGGAGGGCAAGCAAGGTACAGCAATTAAAATGGGTCTTTTGAGCTCTGTGTTCAGTAGTCAAAACTTGACACAGAAATTGTGAAACTATTAAGGTACTGCTTCAGTATCTCAGAATATCTAGACAGCAAGTAGTGGAAAAGCTTAATTATTCCTCTTCATAGACAACATTTGACTTAAAACATCACCACCTTGCAGTCTCTCCTTTCCTCTCCCCCTGCCCTCATACTGCTGACAGGGTAGAACTCGTCTCATCTTGCTTTTAGATGCCTGCACTAGGATGTAACATGTCCTATAAATGCTGAAGTAAACTAGCTCAGAGGCTGACATTTCAATTTAATGAGATAAAATTCATCCAGGGACTCTGTTGCTTTCTATGGAGCATGGCTGAGCAAAGCAGGTTTTGCTGTTTGTGCTACCCAAGAGTACACTCTCATGTACCTGTTCTTCTCTGGTGTGCAGGACCTGGGTTCTCCAACGATAGCAGAACAAGTTGATCAGCCTACAATAGATGATGAGACCGTGCTTATTGTTCCTTCTTCCCATGGTTTTATCCAGACAACGGATGACATAGACAGCGAATCAGTCTTGCCCCTGACAACTCTAACAGGTACATCAGACACTTCTTGTGGTTGATGCTGGAGCTAGGATTTATTAAATCAGTATGGCACTTTTGAGTTCCTGTGAACAACGCTTTATGCATCTTTGCTTCCTCTTAAATATTTTTCCATGTCATTGCTATGAAACTTTAAGCAAGTTGGTAACCCAGCTGGTAGCAGTAGAAGTGGAAAAAAGTCCCTCTTAACCTTCTGGGAAAAGCGTTAGAACGGTAGCTGCTTCATCACTTGCTGTTTCCATCACCGCTGAGCCTTGAATTAGTACACATAGGCTGTGAAGTAACTCTAGTGTGCACTTCTCCATGCCGGGTGCTTGAATGAAATTTGTTTCTCGGCATCTCTCGATGCCTCTGATAGTGAAGGGCTGGGCTATTTGGCGGTGTGTTTGCACAGCACTCACCTGGAAGGGCTTGCTAGATGGTGCCACGCTTCCCAATGCCAAGAGACATCTCAGACTTGGAAGCAGCACAGATATTCTCCCACTTTGGCACTTAACAAATACTCCTTTCCAGAGGAAAGATCTCCATGCAGAGCCATCAGAGGGTCAGCACTAGACCTGATGTAGTAATACCTGATGAATTCAAATGCCACTCACACCGGTTGCATCCATATTAGTCATAGCTTACCTTGAAACTAGAAATTGAGAACTGACTAGTTTGAGGAACACTCCTTAAAATTTGTTAAAATTCCAGACCGCATTTTCTAAGTGTGTCTTTTATATCTTGTTACAATGGTGCAGTAAATAGCACTAATGTACTATGTCTCTTAACAGATCCTATCCTACAGCATCACGGAGATGGGTCACACATTATTGGCTCGTCATTGGGCAGTCCTGACTCAGAAGATTCAAAGGATGTTGAAGATTTAGTGAGCTGTCACTGAGAAGCAGTAATCGTGTCCATTTTCTGTTGACCGTGTTTGCGTTGTGAATTTAGTGACAGCCCTGTGCCACATTTCCAAAGAAAGCAGTCGGTCCGTGTCTTCAAACAGAAGCTTCCAGTTTGAAATGACTGCAGCGCGCTTTCTCTGCTCAGGCTGTGTACCTCATTTTTGAAGCGTTACGGAGCAGCCAGCCGAAGCCTGATGTACTACTACGTCTCGGCCCGGGTGTTTCAGTGTTTCAAGGAACCTGCGTTGCAGTGCTCACTGCTAGGATCCACACAGTCAGTTCCGACCTGACTTGTTACTGGTGTGCTGAACTGCACGTCTGGAAAACCGGACAGCAGTCGAGGATGGTGGACTGTAGCCTCTCAGTGCCGCAGCAAGAATTAGTTTGCACATGTTTCATGAAGAATGGGTGAGGAGTTCTGCACTTACTGACTCTTGTAATACATGGAGTAAGAGACTGTTACATTTCAGGAAGAAATTTATTCCATCAAAGACTTCAGGGAGTATGGGCAGCATCATGCAGAAATGGTCTGTATTCTCGTCTCATCCGGCTTGGTGGGACGTCTCTGGCATAGGAAGAAGACACAGATGCTTATGGGACTCACCTGGCCTGCTTGTTCCCAAGGAGTCCGTTGCTGGCAACGGACAGAGCTCAGAAAGATCACTTGCGGAAAATTTTTTTCTTTCTTTCGTCACTACAGCAAGCTGAATAAAAAGGGAAGGGCTATGACAAAGGGAAGCTACTGGGACTCGCCAGCCTCCCCCCACAAGCTTGTAACTTCTTTGAGGACTGTTGTGAGTAGGCTGGAACATTTGTCTTTCTCGCTGTTTACACGACACTACCAGCCACCTCTCCAGAGGCGATTTATACAGTTAGTAGATGGGGGGGGTGGTGTGGAGGTGGCAAAGTCTTGGAGAAGTAGCTCTGTGAAAAGTTGGGCACAGGGCCCCGAGGCAAAGGAAGCCAATTAATTCCTACATTTGAGGGATGAAACAGACACTAGGCTGAGCAGCAGCCTGTTAGCTAGGGATTGAGAGAAAAAGCTACAGAAACTAAAGACTCATGTATAAATTATTTTATTTATTTCTGTAATTAGCTCTTCATAATCAAGATTTGGTCTTTTTCAGTCTGTGGTTTTGTTAATGTGAAAAATAAGTTGTAGTTTCAAATGGTTGCCTAGGGAACAGAAATAATTGTATATTCAGTTTAAGCGAAATAAAGAGTATTTGTCTTACATAACTGTAAGATGCCATTTATTTATACCGGTACAGATCCTTGCAATGCTGCAGTTTATTTGTACGGTAATAAAAAAATGCAGTTTTTTCCAAAATGAAAAAGCTTGTGCCATTCTGAAACATCAGTACAACTGGAATGTTCAATAAGTGCAACAGTAGCTCTTCAAAAAAAAGCAGAATGTCACGTCTTACGGCAATAATTCTCCCCAACAAGAGGGACATTACATATACATTTACATGAAAATCATGTACTGATTTATCCTTGCACAACCCATTTCTTTCCTCTCAGGCTGACTGTCCTCTCTTAAATGTCTCGAGTCGAGCTGAGAGCTGAGCTGAAAGCAGGCCAACACAGTAGCATCATCGCTGGGCATTCCCAATGTCCATTATTTACCCACTTCATGGAAGTACAGGTTGGCACATATACATAACATGACAATAGAAAATAATATATAGTAAATTAGGTTCCTAAATTTAGGTTCCAGGTCTCCTTGTCGATACCAGTAGATCTAGAAGAGAGAAGGAGTTTGTATTACTTCACAATACCAGGTACATCTGAGGAGACTTCCTATGGTAACCAAACTGGCAACTTCTAGATTCCCTTTCTGTTGAACAACCCAGCTTCGTCTGACTAGAGAAGACCAGGTGTTGAGTCCAGCTGATTTTCTAAACAATTAAGAAATACCACCTGTTTTCTTAGCATGCTTGTGGAACACACAAATGAGAATTTGGCAAGGTGTTTCTCCCCAGAAAAGGCTGTCTGTGAAACTAGGGTGCCAGGTGAGCTATGAAGACATGGGTTGTCTTGTCAGCTTTGTTGAAGAGGGTGGGTGGGCTAGCTCGTTTGTGTTTTTTTTTTTTAAAAAACACTCAAAACTGGCTACCACCTGGTTGATAAGGACAAACATCAGGGTTTGCACTACACAGTCTCTCCTGGGCGGAGTCATGGCTACCAGCCGCACAACCAGGTACTGGTACTGACCAGGCAACGCAGAGCGACTTTGCAGCTCACCCAGCAGCGGGGGGCCAGGGCTCAGGGCCACGACTGTTCCAGGTCTGGAGGAAGGAGAGTGCTCCAAGTACGCAAAGCTCAACCAGAGGCAG